AAAGGCATCTTTTACGCCCAAACCTTTAGTTGGAAATTTCTCTGCTCAAGTATTCCCACCAAGATCAACTTACAGGTGAAATGTATGAGGAAGAGATTTTCATATTAGGTTTCCTGTGTATATCACTAAGCTCTTGGGTATTATTTTATATGAATAGGGTAAAATCCTCAACATGACATTTCCTGGCAGCTGATTTTCAGTTGGTTTCGAATTCTGAGAAAGGAAGCACAAACCACAAAAGAATCTTCAAAACTGTATTTGGAATTGACAAAATCTTCCTAGAGACAAGGCCCTGAGCACAGAGTCTGTCTCCACCATGAAAGTTTTACATAAGCTGTACAGAACAAAATTAGCAATGAGTGATCTTTGGCACTAGAACAGGTGATTCCTTAGCTGTTCATGCAATATCCAAACTGCACACCACATGACATTAGATTGCTGGTTAACCATTTAATTTTACATTTAAATTATCTTAAAAGGCTGGAAGTCCTAGCTAAGTTTTCGATATCAATATGCTACCCACGTCATAACACTTAGTGCCTGAGGTAGAGATTTCTGTAAGATATTTTTGAAAACACAATTGAGAGTATAATACAGAAAAACATTTTAAATCTTGGAAGCATATAGCCTGGTTCAACAAGCCAAATCTGAAATGCAGAACTAGTACCTTTTGAGTCTCACTCCGTCACCCAAGCTGGAGTGCAGTGGTGCAATCTCAGCTCACTGCAACCTCTACCTCCCAGGTTCAAGAGATTCTCATCTCATGCCTTAGTCTCCCAAGTACCTAGGATTACAGGCACGTGCCACCATACCTAATTTTTATATTTTTAGTAGAGACAGTTTTGCCACGTTGGCCAGGCTGGTCTCGAACTCCTGACCTCATGTGATCCACCTGCCTTGGCCTCCTAAAGTGTTGGGATTACAGGCATGAGCCACCACACCCAGCCAGAACTATTACTTATCTCTGCAGAAACTGCACTGGTGCACTTTTTTCCTTTTTTTTTTTGGCGACAGTCTTACTCTGTCGCCCAGGCTGGGGTGCAGTAGCACAATCTTGGCTCACAGCAACCTCTGCCTTCTGGGTTCAAGGAATTCTCATGCCTCAACATCCCGAGTAGCTGGGACGTGCACCTCCATGACCAGCTAAATTCTGTATTTTTAGTAGAGGGGGTTTTACCATGTTGGCCAGGCTTATTTCAAACTCCTGACCTCTAGTGATCCACCCACCTCAGCCTCTCAAAGTGCTGGGATTACAGGCGTTAGCTACCACACCAGCCGAGAACTTTCTTTTATTTGGACTCCTGGATTTTAGAATACCACGGTTTCTTTTTAAAAAAAACAAAAAAAAGTACGATTATTAACGTTAATAACACAGGAACCAAACTCACTTAATATCATTATTAAAAACAGGCTGGGCACAGTGGCTCATGCCTGTAATCCCAGCACCTTGGGAGGCTGTGACAGGAGGATTGCTTGGGTCCAGGAGTTTGAGACCAGCCTGGGCAACACAGAGATCCCTGTCTCTACAAAGAATACAAAAATTAGCAAGGTGTGGTGGTGAGCACTTGCAGCCCAGCTACTTGGGAGGCTGAAGTGGGAGGACTGCTTGAGCCCAGGAGGTCCAGGCTGTAGTGAGTTGAGATTATGCCGCTGCACTCCAGCCTAGGCAACAGATCCTTTCTCAAAACAAACTCCAAAAAACAAAACCAAACATCGATAGAACTACATAGGGACAACAGCAAATACAAATCTTTATTTTATTTTATTTTATTTTTTTTTGAGGCGGAGTCTCGCTCTGTCGCCCAGGCTGGAGTGCAGTGGCCGCATCTCGGCTCACTGCAAGCTCCGCCTCCCGGATTTACGCCATTCTCCTGCCTCAGCCTCCTGAGTAGCTGGGACTACAGGCGCCCGCCACCTCGCCCGGCTAGTTTTTTGTATTTTTTAGTAGAGACGGGGTTTCACTGTGTTAGCCAGGATGGTCTCGATCTCCTGACCTCGTGATCCGCCCGTCTCGGCCTCCCAAAGTGCTGGGATTACAGGCTTGAGCCACCGCGCCCGGCCAAATACAAATCTTTAAACTCTTCATGATGTGGTCGGAATGAGTACAATTATGCAATTCAATGATTCCAACATTTGATGGTGACTGTGAATTATTACATATTTATTATATATAGATGAGTTTAAATTTTATTTCCAAACTGCATGCCAGGACTTTGTTATTATTATTTTTGAGAGAGAGATTCACTCGTTGCCCAGGCTGGAGTGCAATGACGCAATCTCGGCTCACTGCAACCTCCACCTCCTGGGATCAAGCGATTCTCGTCTCAGCCCCCTGAGTAGCTGGGACTACAGGCACCCACCACCACGCCCGGCTAATTTTTGTTATTTTTAGTAGAGATGGGGTTTCACCATGTTGGCCAGGCTGGTCTCAAACTCCTGACCTCATGATCCGCCCGCCTTGGCCTCCCAAAGTGCTGCAATTACAGGCGTGAGCCACCACTCCTGGCCAAAACCTTTGATTTTTAAAAAGGCGTTTCTTAAAGTATCTTATTAAACATTTGATTTGAAGGAAACTGTGCATGTCTAACATTCTTGCCTTTTACAGAAAGCTGGCTAGCCAAAAACGTATCATCAACTATTGATGTTATTTTTAGAAGTGGACTGTCTCTTAAATGAGACAGAAAGCATGAAGTATGGACTTGTACAAGCTGAACGAGTAAATCATGGGTGTAACTGATAACAAATTAAGTCTATTCTTGGTATAAACTGCTAGAGTGTTTCAGACCATCACTGATGTCTGTGATAAACAGCACCAAGTGTCACAGTCCAACTTGTTTTTTAAGCGCCAAGTTCAAACAAGTGACCAATAATGGTTGGTCCTTGAACACCTTTTACCAGAGGCCTTTTCTAACCACTTCGTAACACTTTTGAGAGGTACATGGCTCCTGAGCCTTGGAAAAGTAAAGTGATCTGCCTAATTTCATATCATGAATAAATGAGTTAATGAAGTACCTAATACTGATTTTTTTCCCCTTTAAAGATACAGATGTCCTTCCAAAAAAAAAAACACATTATGTGGAAGTCCAAAACTGAGAATCATTCTGGATGGCAAAGTTCATTTGTATCAAGAGTAAATAATTCTATAGACATTAGTCGAGGAAAATCCCCAGAAAAACTGACTTAAAATGATGTAACATACTTGTGGCTTTAAATGAACACATAAAGAAATAGGCAAAACTAAATAAGCAAAAACAAAGCCACAAAATGAACATTAACATTTCTTTAGGGGAAAATGCTATCTAATTTTCCCCTCAAGTTTGAATTAACCAAAAAAAAAAAAAAAAAAAAAGCGTATTTCTTTTACAAATCTCTTCTGAATAACGGGTTTTAAGAAGAGCAGGCCGGGCACGGTGGCTCACGCCTGTAATCCCAGCACTTTGGGAAGCTGAGGTGGGCAGATCACAAGGTCAGGAGTTCAAGACCAGCCTGGCCAACATGGTGAAGCCCTGTCTCTACTAAAAATACAAAAAAAATTAGCCGGGTATGATGACGGCGCCTGTAATCCTAGCTGCTCGGGAGGCTGAGGCAGGAGAATCGCTTGAACCCAGGAGGCGGAGGTTGCAGTGAGCTGAAATCACGCCACTGCATTCCAGCCTGGGCGACAAGAGCAAGACTCCGTCTTAAGAGAAAAATGAAGAGCAAAGGACACACCACATCTGCATAAATCAAAGTGTGTTAAGGAACATAATCATGTTGATTGTATCCTGATTCTAGCAGATGAAGGACTAAGAACTCAACTTATATTTGGAGTAGAAGCAAGTGTCATGATGGAGCATGTCTTATATGGCAATTCAAACAGTATGATTCTGATGGGGTGGGGAACTAAATGTTGGACAGGCTTTTTATACAAACCCCACCTGCATGTTTCAGAACAATATTCTTAGAGATTCAATGCAGACCCCACCAATGGGTTAGGCAGACATGAATAGGCTCATTTTCTTTTTTTTTTTTGAGACAGAGTCTCACTCTGTCTTCCAGGCTGGAGTGAAATGGTGTGATCTCAGCTCACTGCAACCTCTGCCTCCTGGGTTCAAGCAATTCTTCTGCCTCAACCTCCCAAGTAGGTGGGATTACAGGAGTCCACCCAGCACGCCTGGCTAATTTTTGTATTTTTAGTAGAGACGGAGTTTCACCATGTTGGCCAGTCTGGTCTTGAACTCCTGACCTCAGGTGATCCGCCAGCCTGGGCCTCCTAAAATGCTGGGATTACAGGCATGAGCCACCACGCCTGGCCCATTTTCTTAATGTAAGTTCACAATATGTCATTAGGGGAAAATGACTTTGGCAAACTCATATGCTTTAAAGGCAGAAAGATATGTACTAAGAAGGCAGTTAGAGCTAGAAAATTCTTGACATAATTACAACTTTAGCAAGAGAATAAAAATAGATTTTAAAAGTGTGTGCATGTGGGGAGGTGACAGAGTATCTTTATATGTACTTTAAGAAGCTGACGAGTTATCCAGACACAAAAGCTAACATTCTCATCAGAACAGGCCAAGATGAAACACCAGGGGCACTCTTCATAGAAACTAAGTGGATGCTTCTGGCGCCAAATGTCTTTGCCTGGTTCTTCCTGGCATTTCTGCTTGACTCCTTCCCTCTGTATCATTCTCAAATCCCCAACCTTTCCACTGGCAAAACCACTGTCTTCTCCCTCAGGCTCTGAATAGATAACACAAATGTATGGACATGTTTTGTCCTTCAATTAAAAAACCTGCTTGAAGCTCCATTGACGTAAGAATTAACTGGTAGTTCTTTATCTTACCTAGGCTTATGTATTCAAAATTTTGCCTGTTTTCTTGGAATTATATGAATTTCCTTATTAAGCATTTGATTTGAAGGAAGCTGTGCATGTCTATTAATTACCCATGATATACATGTGTATTACTTTCTGAAACTTCTCCTTCAGTCTCCTTTGAGTTTAATTTTTGCTTAAGATGTTTAGAGTTCCTGAGGTGCTTCTCTGGGCTAAAATTTAAAGTTTTTTGTTTTTTTTTTAAAAGCAAATAAAAGTAAATGAATGGCTAAAAGATAAGGCTAAATTTTCTAGGCTGGGTATGGTGGCTCATGCCTATAATACTAACACTTTGAGAGGCTGAGGCGGGAGGATCACTTGAACCCAAAAGTTCAGGACCAGCCTGGGCAACATAGTGAGACCTCATCTCTACAAAAAAAATTTTTTTAAAAAGAATTAGCCGAGTATGGTGGCACGTGCCTGTAGTCCCAGCTAATCAGGGGGCTGAGGTAGAATGATCGCTTGAGCCTGGGAGGCAGAGGCTGCAGTGAGCTGAGATCATGCTGCTGCACTCCAGCCTGGGTGAAAGAGGGAGACCCTGTCTCAAAAAAAATTTCCTTAAGTTTATTTTCTTGGTGGGGGTAGGAATGCAATGGAGAAACAAAGAAAAACACTGCACAAAGGGTGCAGTGTTCTAGTGTTCATCTAAATAATGGAGAACTGGCATTTTACAATTAAGATATAAAAAATATTCATACTTTCAGAATTTCCAAGTCAGAGGTGGCTTACAATAGCTTTCGTTAGAAAAGGGTGAGACGCACAAATAAAATGCTCCCTGGTGGAACGAAGGCCCCTTTAAACCTTTACCAAGCTCTTTCTCAGAAGCTCACAAAATTTAAGACAATGAGAACATGATGAGAAAGCAAAGCTCTGCAACATAAGGTTGAAAATGACGATAAAAGACTGCGATAAAAGACTAGTGGGATGAACATGAATGCTTGTCAGTGACAAACACATTATGCCTACAAGGAATAAATACTGCATTTCTCTTTAGGTCTATTTACAGAGGACTCCATGACCTTTCAGGTATAAACCTCCACTGGCAGAATATGTTTAATCACAAAAGTTCTGTGGTAAATTATAAAAAATAAGAAATTTGGATTTAAGCCTTCTGCCATTTCCAATACAAGTAGCTTTGAGTATTCTTGGTTGACAAAGGAATGTTTGCATTTCTAATGTTAACAAAGAAAATATCCACCACTGGCTTCTTAACCAGAGGGAGAGAAGCGGGCAGGTTTCTGGATAGAGGTTTAAGGCAAATCAAACAGGTTCACAACTAAGCATCCTATTAGGGATTCCAGGCATGGCTTTGTTTTCTGAGGGACAGCTCCACATCATCTCAAGCCAGGTTTTCCACATTGCTACCAAACTGGGGACACATTTCTGTATCAGGCTTTTGAAAGAACTTTAAGTTATATACACACACCGTCAAAGCATATACTGGTGATGCTTGATATTTAAATGAATCCTACAGTGAATCATTTATTTCCTTTGAAAATAAGGTTTTCAAAAACTGGCTACAACTCTGATTGCATGAATGAGATTCAAAGATTTCTCATGTAAAAGAAAGATCTCAACCTCCTTATACTGTGAACTCGCTTTCCAAGACTAAAAACTGGTATCTCCTCTTCAGTCTCCTTACACATCTGAAATCATTCCTGCAATATGAGAGGCACTTTTATTAGGTGTAGCATCTATTAAAAACTCTAAAGCCAGGGTAGAATTTGCTGAACAAAGTAATAGCACTAGCCTAATAGGCATTACTTATAAGGACTTTTCCCCCTTTAATATAAAAGTATAACTACAGCAGTTCAATGTACAAATACAAAAAAAGTTCTCATACTAAAAAAAAAGTACCATAATACTGTACATACAAAAACTGTTCAACAAGAATGATTTAAATATGCCTGTTCTTCTCCAGATCTGGAAGACACAAATGTAAAGTTCTGCAACTGTATTATTGCTAAGAACATGTGCCCAGGAACACTGTGTTTCCGTTTCTCCCCCTCAGCCCAGCCCCGCCTCCAGAGTCCCCTGAGCTTGGATCATGAGCCAACAGCATCCCTGAAGATAACCAGAGCCAAATGTTTACTCAATGGAAGTCATTATTCAGTGAGCTGCTGCTTACCATAAACTATGAAAAGCACAGGTTTTAAGCCCGCCAGGATTAAATCCAGACGGAGGTCTTCCCATCCCCTGATTTGCTACTGGCAGTGCTTTTGTTGGACCCAGCTTTGGACCCCACTTTGGCCTTCTTCTCCCGGGGGCCATGAGGGTTGTTTTGGTGACTGTAGGCCTGAATTGCCAGATCCAAGCGTTCCTGAGCCATCCTGATCTCCCGCTGCAGAGCCTCCAGGTCAGCTGGGAGGTTCTCTTCATGGCTGCCATACTGCTGTTCCTGGGCTGTGTTGGCCTTGTTTTGCTTGTAGGCGATCTTAGCATTGGATAGTTCGGTGTACTGGATTTGATCTGGTTTGACAGCAATGTTATAGCCAGGGGGAGCAGATGGTGTATTCCAAGTGAAAGGATAATTATAAGCACCCGGATCCTCAAGTTCCCTCCTTTTACTGTTTAGTGAGTCTCGAATGGTCCCAAACCCTAAATGAAGCATCTCCCAAATGTTAAGCAAGAGGCAAAGGCCTGTAACACCATACATTATCAGAAGGAAGATGGTCTTTTCAGTGGGTCTAGAAATAAAGCAGTCTATCTTATGAGGGCAAGGAAGTCTGCTGCACACATAAAACGGGTGGACTTGGAAGCCATATAGAAAATACTGCCCTATCAGAAAACCCACCTCAAACACGGTCCTTGCCAGCAACTGCAGCACATAGATTTTCATGAGCCCATCTTCCCGAATCCGTCGTCGGCCATCATGCTTAGGTTTGGGTTGGCTCTGCTCTTTATTTTCTTTATCACTTTCTAACTCCATCTCTGGATACATCATAGGATCCTCTTCGTTATCCTCCTCTGTTTCTTCCAGAGCCCGGTGTTGTTTCCAGCGCATTGCATAGGGCTTGCTCCGAGCCGCCTTCTTGTCTGCTTCACCGTGCTCCATTTTGGCAATCTTGTGGATAGCATAACCCAGGTACATCACAGAGGGAGTTGCCACCAGGATGATCTGGAACACCCAGAAGCGTACATGGGAGAGGGGTGCAAACGCATCATAGCAGACATTCTCGCAGCCCGGCTGTTCTGTGTTGCACACAAATTTGCTTTGCTCATCATAATAGATGGATTCTCCTCCTACAGCTGTAAGGACAATCCGGAAGACAATCAGAACAGTGAGCCAGATCTTCCCCACAAATGTGGAATGGTTGTGAATCTCCTCTAGCAGGCGAGTCAGGAAGCTCCAACTCATGGTGATTGAATTGGTATGCCCTGATAAAAGTGGAAAAATACCAAAAGAAAATCAACAAATATATTAAATCTTAATTTAATTATTAATTTATGATATCTCTAGGAACTACTACTTTGAATACTTGAAATCTAACTTCAAGGTTCACAGTGGAACAAATGTTAGAATAAACAGCATCTCGGTTGGGTGCGATGGCTCACGCCTGTAATCCCAGCTCTTTGGGAGGCCAAGGCAGGCAGATTACTTGAGGTCAGGAGTTAAAGACCAGCCTGGTCAACATGGTGAAACTCCGTCTCTATAAAAATACAAAAATTGGCCGGGCGCGGTGGCTCACGCCTGTAATCCCTGCACTTTGGGAGGCCGAGGCGGGCGAATCACGAGGTCAGGAGATCGAGACCATCCTGGCTAACACGGTGAAACCCCGTCTCTACTAAAATACAAAAAATTAGCCGGGCGCGGTGGCGGGCGCCTGTAGTCCCAGCTACTCGGGAGGCTGAGGCAGGAGAATGGCGCGAACCTGGGAGGCGGAGCTTGCAGTGAGCCGAGATGGTGCCACTGCACTCCAGCCTGGGCGACAGAGTGAAGACTCCGCCTCAAAAAAAAAAAAAAAAAAAAATACAAAAATTACCCGGGCACGGTGGTGTGTGCCTGTAATCCCAGCTGCTCAGGAGGCTGAGGCAGGAGAATCACTTGAACAGAGCAAGACTCCATCTCAAAAAAAAAAGAATAAATAGCATCTCACTCTCCACTATCTTCAGGCAGGTCAATTCACCTCAGTCAACACCTGTTGGCCCTACAAGGTCCTAGAGAGTATGGATTACTTTCACATCTCCTCTGGTTTGAAAGGTAAACTTGTAGCTACTATTTATCAAGATGTATTTCTCAGACCTCGGTTCTTTTTTTTTTTTTTTTTTTTTGAGACAGTTTCCCTCTTTCACCCAGGCTGCAGTGCAGTGGCGTGATCTTGGCTCACTGCAACCTCTGCCTCCTGTGCTCAAGTGATTCTTGTGCCTCAGCCTCCGAGTAGCTGGGATTACAGGCATGCACCACCATTTTTGTATTTTTAGTAGAGATGAGGTTTCACCATGTTGGCCAGGCTGGTCTCGAACTCCTGACCACAGGTGATCCTCCTGCCTTGGCCTCTCAAAGTGCTGGGATTACAGGTGTGAGCCACCATGCCTGGCCATACCCAGGTTCTTTACACATACTATTATTTCATGAGACCTTCAGAATTTTGTGAGATAGAGATTAAAAAAACACACAGGTATAGTTATTCGGTCCAATCACAGAAAAACCACCACGGAGAACATGAAGGGGACACCTTGGCTAGACTCCACTGTGAAGGGGTGACTTATTAGGAAACTTAAATTTTAGACAAGTGCTAAAAGGGATTAAGAAGATGGTACAAACTGCTGGCAATCATTAAGAACTAAAAAGACGAAGGGAACTAGGAAGATCTTCCCTAGCTAGACTGTATAGCATACCAGATTTTGGTTTCACTTAGAAACCCACAGTGAATGGTTTTGCAATAAATATTATACCCCTTTACTATATAACAGAATCTACAAATTATACTTCTGTACCTTATTTATGGCAGACATTAAAAAATGATTGCCAAACTGAATTGTGAGGACATTAAATTCAATCAACAGCAAATCCACTTAAAATAGCATTTTAAAGGATAGTTTCTTTCTGAGATTCCCAGATCTACATCCAGGATCCAGGTAAAAAAACACCTAAATGAGGTAATATATGGGAAATCCCTAATAGAACCTCAACACAAAGTAGACTTAACTTTTAACTTGTCTTCCTCCCTCTCCCAGTTTACTTCTGCAGATTACAGATGATTTGTCAGCACCACCTAAGTTTAAATACACTTTACCTGTTGTCCAGAGCTTCTGTTACCCAAAATTTTCTTAGAGAAATGATGTTTTGATTGCAATTTTTCCAGATTGCCTCTGGAAAGGAAAAAGAAAAGAGCAGGTCATAAGCTTCCTGCCACAGAAAACAATGAATCACTAAAATGCTATTTTCAGAAAGAAACAAAGTTTTCTATGTACCATAAAAATCAATGAGAATAAGATGGAAACAGGCTTCAGTTTGAATACCAGTTTTCTCCTCCCATACAGGTGGCAGGAGAAACTATGTAACAGGTGACCTAAAGATTCTTAAGTCACCAGTCCAAGAATATACAACAGGAAGATGAGTCAGTAGTAAAAGCATGAAGCAGATGAACTCTGGCACCTATAGGAAAAAGCCAAAGCAGAAGAATTGCAGCAAATTGAAAGTGGGTCACTAAAGGTCTTGCAAAAACCTTCACCCCGTCTGCTGTATTCCCTGAAGCAGCCAATACGCCTCTCAGGGGGATTTAAGCAGCTAACCAGGAGCAAGCTGTTTAGCTAAAACACCCAACAGCTGGCTCTCAGTCACAGGAACACCAGTCTCCATAGGAGGTGATTTACAGATACAACTGCTCACAAAAAGTCACAGAAAGAAAACACCTGTATCTGTACTGGATTAAACAGCAAAACAGAAAAGTTTCCAAGATGAATTATGCTCATTATCAAGCTCTGGCAACTCTGCATACCTCTGGCCAAATGTCATCCGTAAGGCGAGAAAATAAATTTAAAACAATTCCTGAATGTTATGTGTTTATAGTAAATTAAAAGAGTGCTTTGTTTTGTTGTTTAAAGATACAGGGAAAAAAAACTGGAACAATTTCCAAAGGACCAATGGGGAAAAAAAAGTGCAGGCATGAAGCTGCATAAAGATTTGCATATAAGCCTGGGCAATATAGTGAGACCCTATCTTTCCAAATTTTAAAAAAATTAGCTGGGTGTGGTGGCAGTGGTGGCCAATGCAGTCTAACCTGGTAGACAGAACAACACCCTCTTACACACACACACAAGCACACACAGACACACATGGCCCAGCACAGTGGCTCAGGCCTGTAATCCCAGGACTTGGGGAGGCCAAGGAGGGGGGATCACTTGAGTTCAGGAGTTTGAGATCAGCCTGGGCAACATGTGAAACCCAGTCTTCACCAAACAACAACAACAACAACATCCCCCAAAATTAGCATGGTGATGAACACCTGTGGTCCCAGCTACTCGGGAGGCTCAAGTGAAAGAATCACTTGAGCCCAAGAGGTAGAGGTTGCAGTGAGTTGTGATCGTGTCACTGCACTTCAGCCTAGGTGACAGCGAAACCTCAAAAAATAAATAAACAAAGAAGCAAAAAGATTTACATATGAAGAATCCAGGCCAGGCGTGGTGGCTCATGCCTGTAATCCCAGCACTTTGGGAAGCCGAGGTGGGTGGATCACCTCAAGTCGGGAGTTCAAGACCAGCCTGACCAACATGAAGAAACCTTGTCTCTACTAACTAAAAATACAAAATCAGCCAGGTGTGGTGGTGCATGCCTGTAATCCCAGCTATTTGGGAGGCTGAGGGAGGAGAATCGCTTGAACCTGGGAGGTGGAGGTGGCAGTGAGCTGAGATCGCACCATTGCCCTCCAGCCTGGGCAACAAGAGCAAAACTCCATCTCAAAACAAAACAAAACCAACAAAAGAATCCAGCTGAGCATGATGGCTCACACCTGTAATCTCAGCACTTTGAAAGGCTGAGGAAGGAGGATCACTTGAAACTGGGAGCTCAAGACTGCAATGAGCTATGATCATACCACTGCACTCCTGCCTGGGCGAAAGAGGGAGACTCTAACACAATAGAATTTCCAGTATAGCTCCCATGTCTAGTCCTGCTTCCCAACTGAGCTTACCACCTCTTTTCTCATTGAATATACAAGTTATAGAACCTCAAAACAAGAAGTAAATAATATAAAATCTTTAAACGGTGATTTAAGCCAGGTTTCCAACACAGAACTCCATGATTCCATCCACAAATTCTCTGCAGGCTCAGATTTTCCCTAAAGCCTGAAATTTCTATTTGTTCCAATAAGCCAAAATTATGAAAATACAATTAGTTAGAACTTATCTGTTATATCTCCATCCACAAAGATAAATGTGTATCTTTTTTTTTGAGACAGAGTCTCGCTTTGTCAGCCAGGCTAGAGTGCAGTGGCACGATCTTGGCTCACTGCAAGCTCCGCCTCCCAGGTTCATGCCATTCTCCCGCCTCAGCATCCCGAGTAGCTGGGACTACAGGTGCCCGCCACCACACCCGGCTAAATTTTTTGTATATTTTAGTAGAAACTGGGTTTCACCGTGTTAGCCAGGATGGTCTCGATCTCCTGACTTCATGATCCGCCTGCCTTGGAGCTCACTGCAACCTCCACCTCCCAAAGTGCTGGGATCGCAGGCATGAGCCACTACGCCCGGCTGATTTTTGTATTTTTAGCAGAGACGGGGTTTTCACCATGTTGGCCAGGCTGGTTTTGAACTCCTGACCTCAGGTAATCTGCCTGCCTCGGCCTCCCAAAGTGCTGGGATTACAGGCATGAGTCACTGAACCTGGCCTTTTTTTTTTTTTTTTTTTTGGAGACAAGGTCTCTTTGTTATCCAGGCTGGAGTGCGGCGACACGATCTCAGCTCACTGCAGCCTCAACCTCCCCAGATTCAGGTGATCCTCTCACCTGAGCTTCCCAAATACCTGAGACCACAGTTGCATGCCACCATGCCTGGCTAATTTTTGTATTTTTTGTAGAGAAGAGGTTTTGCCATGTTACCCAGGCTGGTTCTCAACTCCTGGGCTCAAGTGATCTGCCTGCCTCGGCCTTCCAAAGTACTAAGATTACGAGCATGAGCCACTGTGCCCGGTCTTTCTCTTAATATAACTCTGTGGGGAAAAAAATAGGCCGGGCGCGCTGGCTCACGCCTGTAATCCCAGCACCTTGGGAGGCTGAGGCGGGTGGATCACCTGAGGTCGGGAGTTTGAGACTGGCCTGGCTAACATGGTGAAACCCTGTCTCTACTAAAAACACAAAATTAGTCGGGCATGGTGGTGCGTGCCCATAATCCCAGCTACTCGGGAGAATGAGGCAGGAGAATGGCTTGTACCCGGGAGGCGGATGTTGCAGTGAGCCAAGATCGTGCCATTGCACTCCACCTGGGAAAGAGCAAAACTCCATCTCAAAAAAAAAAGAAAAAAAAAAAAACCCGGCTGGGTGCGGTGGCTCACGCCTGTAATCCCAGCACTTTGGGAGGCTGAGGCGGATGGATCACCAGGTCAGGATACCGAGACCAGTCTGGCCAACATGGTGAAACCGTGTCTCTACTAAAAACACAAAAAAATTAGCCGGGTGTGGTGGCACACACCTGTAGTCCCAGCTACTCAGGAGGCTGAGGCAGGAGAACGGCTTGAAGTAGGGAGGCAGAGGTTGCAGTGAGTCGAGACTGCGCCACTGCACTCCAGCCTGACAACAGAGCAAGACTCTGTCTCAAAAAACAAAACAAAACAAAACGCCCATAACATTAAAACCCATGTATGCCTATTGTTCCATTATTGGAACGCTAAGCATGTGGGAGTTATTTATATCCTACTTCTCAAGATCATTGCCAAGGTCTGATTTTTTCAAATTCAAAAAATTGCAATCTCAGACATAAATGGGTTAAAAGAAACAAACACACAAAAAACCCCATAATCACAGCTACTTACAAATGTTTTGGTTTTCCTTATGTCCTTCTAGTCTTTATCTAAATGAATACTCTTTCCAAAAAACATTAATTTACAAAGGGATCTAGTAGTAAAAATGAACTTTATTTTTTTTTGAGACAGAGTCTGGCTCTGTAGCCCAGGCTGGAGTGCAGTGGCACAATCTCGGCTCACTGCAAGCTCCACCTCGCAGGTTCATGCCATTCTCTTGCCTCAGCCTCCCGAGTAGCTGGGACTACAGGCGCCCACCACCACGCCCGGCTAATTTTTTGTATTTTTAGTAGAGACGGGGTTTCACCGTGTTAGCCAGGTTGGTCTCAATCTCCTGACCTCGTGATCTGCCCGCCTTGGCCTTCCAAAGTGCTGGGATTACAGGCGTGAGTCACCATGCCTGGCTTTCTCTTTTTTTTTTTAAATTGAGACAGAGTCTCACTGTCGCCCAGGCTGGAGTTCTGTGGCACAATTTCAGCTCACTGCACCCTCCACCTCCCAGGTTCACACCATTCTCCTGCCTCAGCCTCCCGAAGAGCTGGGACTATAGGCATGCGCAACCACGCCCGGCTAATTTTTGGTATTTTTAGTAGAGACAGAGTTTCACCATGTTAGCCAGGATGGTCTCCATCTCCTGACCTCGTGTTCTGCCCGCCTCAGCCTCCCAAAGTGCTGGGATTACAGGCGTGAGCCACCATGCCCAGCCAAACTTCTCTTACACTTGTTTACTATTTGTATTTCTTTTTGTGTAAATATGTTTACCAACTTAACTCCAACATCTCACAAAATGGGTGATGAGCAACTAACCTTCCTTCCTTCCTTCTCCTTTCCTCCTTCTCTTTTTTTTTTTTTTTTTTTTTTTGAGACAAGTCTCTCTCTGTTGCCTAGGCTGGAGCGCAGTACCACGATCTCAGCTGACTGCAGCTCTGTCTCCCAGGTTCAAGCAATTCTCCTGTCTTAGCCTCCCGAGTAGCTGGGACTACAGGCGCACACCACCATGCCAAGCTAATTTTTGTATTTTTAGCAGAGACGGGGTTTCACCCCGTTGGCCAGTCTGGTCTTCAACTCCTGACCCTCAGGAGATCCGCCCGCCTCTGCCTCCCAAAGTGCTGGGATTACAGGTGTGTCACTGCACCCAGCCACAACTGTCTTTCTAAAATAAAGAACCATGGGCTTCCTAAAATGAATGGCAGTATCACCACTGTTTTTACCCGTCGAGTCAGTAAGTTTTTCTTTGATACTCTTCCCTTTCCTCTCCTTCCAAGTTACTTTTTTTTTTTTTTTGACAAGAGTCTCTGTCGCCCAGGCTGCAGCACAGTACTGCGATCGCTGCAGCCTTCATCTCCCGGATTCAAGCAATTCTCCTGCCTTAGCCTCCCGAGTAGCTGGGACTAAAGGTGCACACTACCATGCCCAACCAATTTGTGTTATTTTTAGGAGAGATGAGGTTTCGCCATGTTGGCCAGCCTGGTCTCCAACTCCTGACCTCAGGTGATTCACCCATCTCGGCCTCCCAAAGTGCTGGGATTACAAGCGTGAGCCACCATGCCTGGCCACAAGTTATCCATTCTTACTCTCAGTGAAATGTCAAATAATTCCTGGGGGATGACTGTGGTCTGGGAAACATTTTGAAAACATTAGTCCTCATTTCTGTAATGGGTCACTCATTCTCTAGGCAAGCCCTCTCCCCAGCAGCTATGTATTAACAAAGCATTAAGCATTGGCTTACAATGTTACAGAGTACAATACTCCACCAGAGAAATTAAGATCATTTCAAGAAGCAGAAGGCAGGTTCTGGAATTAACATTTCTAAATAGAATATGTCACTACCAATTGTGGTCTCACTGTGAAAAAAAGCCGGTTCTTGCTCCGCTGAAGTTTCCTTTCTCCTGAACCATAATTATTATTATTATTATTATTTGAGACAGAGTCTTGCTCTGTCTCCCAGGCTGGAGTGCAGTGGCATGATCTCAGCTCACTGCAAGCTCTGCCTCCCGGGTTCACGCCATTCTCCTGCCTCAGCCTCCCGAGACTATAGGCGCCCGCCACCATGCCCAGCTAATTTTTTTATTTTTAGTGGAGACGTGGCCTCACCATGTTAGCCAGGATGGTCTCAATCTCCTGACCTTGTGATCCACCCACCTCAGCCTCCCAAAGTGCTGGGATTACAGGCATGAGCCACCGTACCCAGCCCTGAACCATTATTTTATCTACTTTTTTCTTGAATGGCTTCTTAAATTATTTTTTTAAAGAATGCTGCAATTCATGGAAGCCCATAATTCAAAAGGATTCACTCACTCACACACAAAAAACCCTGGAGATCTGCAGAGGGGCCCCTCAGTCTTCAGAACTGATCAGTGCACAAGTGAGGAAATGGTCTACACAAGGGACCTGAACAGGTGCCTAAAATTCAGGACATAGGGCCGGGAGCGATGGCTCATGCCTGTAATCCTAGCACTTTGGGAGGCCAAGGCGGGTGGATCACCTAAGGTCAGGAGTTTGAGACCAACCTGGCCAACATGGCGAAACCCTATCTCTACTAAAAATATAAAAATTAGCCGGGTGTG